TGATTTCTAGGTTTTTTGAAACGAATTAATCGTTTTTTATTTAACACATAAAAAAGAAAAGAAAAAAACAAAACAAAAAAATATGTATATGGAAAAAAATAAGCAAATTACTTGTTTTAGGTCTGCTAAGTTTACTACAAAGATTTTCCACTCCTTTCTTTATAAAATAATATACCCCAATGTCTTTACTTATCTATTTCCGTAGGTTTTATAAAAGTTCATCTCTAACTAAATCCTGTACCAGTTGTTGACGTTCCACCTCTTGTCTACGGCGTCTTTCCAATTCAGCCTGTTCCACTATATTGGCAATAGGTACATTTTCCATTTCCTCCTGTTCACGGGCAGCGGCCGCAGCATCGGCTGCCTCTTGTTGTTGTTTCTTACGGTGTTCATAGTTGACTAAACGTTGTCCCACCAAATACTTGTCCACCTTAATGGCTACATATAGCTTTTTGAATTGGCGTATTTGGAAACACACTAGACCAATGGCTCCAATAACCGAAAAGAATACTGGATATACAAAGTGTGCTATCTCTAATTGGACCCAGGGATCTTTAAAGAAAATGGGTAGTATAGAATGGGCCAATACATAAGGTATGGCCAAAGCTAGACCAAAACAGGTTATGACCGGCGTGGCCAATTCGCTGATTAAGAATTTCAAATCAATATCACGTAAACCATCACGATAGGCACGCTCTAAAGCCCGCTTCAAATGCCAATCGGGACCCATTAAGGTCAAGGCAATGGCTATTTTCGTATATAAAACACCCAAGGCCCAATCTTGCCAAATAAAGTAGATGGGTGTTTGTCGTATGCCCACACGTACAGGTATAACTACCACCAACTCCAAAAGCATGCCAAAGAGTAAAGGTATGACTCCTAGCATTAAAACAATTATCAAAACGGGTAGAGCATAGGAGGCACCCACCTTAAGCCATTGTTTGATTTTATCCATTACTGCAGCTCGGCCTTGCGGCAGCAAAGTAACCGCTATAGCTATGCCTCTTGTAATCATCCAACACAAATAAGTGCCCAAGGCAGCCGTATACAATTCATGTGGTCGTGGTGTCACCTCAGTACTTTGTACAACAACCTGTGTAGTTATGCTGCCCACCGACCACAAAGACATTACCTGACGTCCTATCCACACGGGTACGGTTAGGGTCAGCAGCGAAGCCACCACCAGCGATACACACATGAAAAATATCAAACCGCATAGTCTTATGGGAAATATTGAAGGCTTATCGTAAGGTTGGAAGGCTACCGGAACATCACGATGTATTATGGCATGATGCACTGCCGCCAAATTACGTTCAGCTTGTGGAGGCGGCGGTGGTGGCGGAGGTGGTGCCTGTGGTTGTGCTTGTACAGGATTAGCGGCTTCTAAATTTTCTCCTGCTGCTGCTTGATTTTCATTATCAGCATTATTTTCCTGTTCATTATTCTCATTGTTTTCTGCGTTATTTTCAGCATTGTTGGCTTGTTGTTGATTGGTGGGTTCTGCTGGCGGGTCATTGCTCAAGAGATAGCTGCGTATACCCAAAATCCATGAAACACAAATACACCAAATACGTAAAAGCTTTTTGAGCCAGACGCGTGTATGAGATTGTTCAAAGAAACCGGGCAAGATGATCTTGAAACGAAAAAGCGGTGGCGTAAAAAGTAATATTTAGAACTTTAGAATCTTTCGATATTAATACACGATGGATGCAATTAAAAGCGAACTTTTTTACAAATAAATGTTTGCGATATAATGAAATAATTGGGTGGTATTTATTTTAATAAAAAATTGGTTAACTGATTAAATGGCGAAGAAAAATTTTGAGCGAATTTTAAAATTTCAACTGTATGATTTATTACTAAATGAATAAATTATTTCAGACTAAACTCACCTGTAAAAGTAAAAGTTGCAAACTTAATTCATTCACTTCTGAATCACCAGATAAAGTGTAGGGTAAAAATGTGGGCCAAACTGTTTTCAAAATACGAATTGGCATCCAAAGCATAAGAAGTACAACAGAGCCAAATATCATAGCCGAAGAAATCAAGCGACGAACATGTCTTAAGATGGGAAGATGTATCATTTCCTATAAAAACCCCCCAACAAAAAAAGAAGCAAATTATTAAACAAACACAAAGAAAACTATTTAAACTCACCTGTATAGGACTAAAGTCGGGATCATTTAAATTGCGTAAAAACCACAAAACACCAGGACGTAATACTTCTCGTAGCAGAGAAATAAACGCAGCAAAATAGTAAACATAAACCATACCAAACATCCAGTGAACAAATAGCGATGTACCCGGTGCGGCGGTAAAACTAGCCTTGCGATCTTTAAGACTAAAACATAAAAAGGAAAACATTAAACATTTTATTAAAACTATAATTAATTTAAAACAAACTTACGTAGCATCAAACAAGGGCAGTGAACAAATATCTAACCACCAGCCGCAAACCAAGGGCAATACGCCAATCTCCACCACCGACAATAGAGATACCTTTACCACTATATAGCACAAGCCTATAAGATTGCGCACTCTTCTCATATGGAATGCTTTTGCCAGAAAATGTAATACCACCAATATGTGTCCAATAAAACAATAACCAAATAAAGTAGTTAATAGGCCATGAAAATGTAGCAAAGGTTTATCGGCATTCAATAGATTCATCGATTGCAAGATAAAATGGCCAATACAGTAGGGACAAAAGGCAAAGGCAAAAATTAACATTGTGTTTAGAGAAATAATCCAGAAAACATGTTCCAAAAATACTAATGAACCATCCAGGCCCAGTAGACGTTCCCAAGTCAACTCTTCAGCGGCACGATCCCATTCCATGGGATTCCAATTTGGCTCGTCGTTATCATTATCAGCAGCATTGGCGGCTGCGTTGTTATTTGGATTGTTATTGGCGGCGCCTCCAGCCAAGGCAGGAGGTAATTGGGGACCAAATTCTAGAGGAGGATCACCTTCATTTTCTGCCGGATCTGCTACAGCGGGAGCATTATTGTTCATAGGTTCTACCACAGGAGCTTCGGCATTATTATCATTATTAGCAACGGCGGCAGCTGGAGCAGCAACTGGCTCATTAGCATTGGCCTGATCTGCCAGCAGTTCAACCTCTTCCTCAGGTATAGCTTCTTCCAAAATATTACCAACGCCTGCCTCATTATCGGCAGCAACATTAGCTTCTGCACCAGCTGCTGCAGCTACCGCAAATTCTGGCAAAGGTATAAGATCTACATCACTCCCCATCATTGTTGCCACCACCTTCCGCCACAGCCGGGGCATCTTCACGTTCCAACCAGTCCGGACCACCACCCAGCAATATCTGCTCTCTTAACCACACCAAACCAATAAAAGACAACAGCGTACAGGTCACTACAAAACAACCGCGAAAAACATCCGAAGCCAAATTTTCCGTAGAAAATATATCGAACGGCAATGTCATAATCATATCGAAAGATGAAGCTCGAAACAAATAACGATAAGTGCGGTACGCCGACAACGGAACAATTACAAACCAGGCCAAACCCACCAGAGTATAATGGGCCCATGACTTGGCCGCCTTCATGATGGCCGATATCAAACCCCCAGCCACATCACGCAGTGGCAATACACGGGGCATATCGGGCGAGTATATGGGTTGGAAACTAAAACGGTGACCACATAGTTCACAGTATTCCTTGTGCGAATAACGCATCCATTGCATTAAACAATCCTGATGAATATACTTTATGCTGCCCGTGCAGACGCAAGGATAGAAAAGAGGACGATCCGATTGAGCCTCACAACGACAAACGCGACAAATGTCGCCTTGTGACAAATCATCCATTGTTTACAACAAAAAAAGCTATCAACTTTTCTTCACTTTCCACAATCTTTATTTAGGCATTAGGAGTTTTTGCTATAGAATCCCTTTTCTCTTCACTATTTTGTTTGGTTTTCCTACTATATTTTCTTGCTTTTATATTTTTTGCAATATTTTACAAAAATTTTCCTTCCACAAAATTTTTTCTTTCTTTATTAATTTCACACGTAAATTTATCAGCCAGCTGTTTGTTTCTCATGTAATGTTGTTGTTGTTATCGATGTGAATAAAACATTTTTTAACATACTTTTTCCCAGAGTTGTACTAAATAGGAAGTATTGTGTTTTTAGTACTTTTTTTAAATGCAGAATGGATAAGGGTAAGGGTATCCTATATTTATGTGTTAAATTTGAATAACAAATGTAAACGATTTTCATTACAAAATATAGCAATTCTCTCATATAGCCCATTGTTTGCACATATTTCGACACCTATTGCACATACATTATGTTATAATTATAGGTATATTAAACACTTTATAATATTAATATAAATTTTTCTATTTTTATTTGGTTTTAATTTGTGTTTCGTTCATTGTTGTAAAAATATGTATTTTCTCTACTAAGACAGGGATGTCCATTGTAATTTCAACTTAATTTCAATGAAATTAAGCAAAATGACTGGATTTCAAATTAACAAAATTACTTAATTTCGAGTAGAATATTATTAAATTAATTAATTATTAAAGAAATTAATTTTTCGCGGGAATTTTTATGCAAAACAATGAAGTTTGCTGTATTTTTTCGCGGCAATTTATCCTGCCTCCGGTCGGTATGATGACTTTTTGTGCCAAAAAAGTCTTCATACCAAGAAGTTTAACAACCTAAGAATGTCTATACGTCTTCATACCTTCATACACGATACAAAAATACAACCCTGATAAACCAGTGCTACCACATATAACGCAGAGATACAATATGGCTGTATACGTCTGGCAACTTTCACACAGCTGTCGTTACTCATACAGTATGTTCAGTGTTGTTTATCAAAATTAAAAAAAAAAAAAAAACAACAAAAACATCCTCATGCCATATGCAGTGCTATTCATTGAAAACTAAATAAAAAGCAACAAAAACATCATCATTATTTTTATCAAATTTATCATTATTCCGAAAGAAAATTTTCTAGCGGTGTAAAGTAAGTTTATTTTGTCAAATTGCCAAGTAATATAATTAAAAAAAATATTTAACATTTTAGCTTATACATTTCTCCGAAAAAGCAGAAAAATTAACAGTGAAAAATGTTGCGCACTATTTTCCAAAAAACCGGACAAAATCTTTTGCCTCGTCTAGGTCAACGTACAGTGGCCACTAGCGGCATTAAAAATGAGATTTTCAACGTACAAAGCTCAGAAGATTTCGAAAATAAAGTCAAGAAGAGCGATAAGGTGGTGATAGTTGACTTTTTTGCAACGTAAGTTTATGATGAAATTCTTGATTGAGAAGATTATATAATTAATTTTGTCTAGATGGTGTAATCCCTGCAAAATGTTGACCCCTCGTTTGGAATCGATTGTAGGAGAAAAAGCTGGCGCCGTTAAATTGGCTAAAGTAGATATCGATGAACACAGTGAATTGGCTTTGGATTATGATGTAGCTGCTGTGCCCGTTCTCATGGCCATGAAAGATGGCAAGGTGGTCAACCGTATGGTGGGTTTACAAGATACCGACAAGCTTAGAGCCTGGATTGACAAAACTGTTGAAGAAAATAAGTAAATGATACGAAATGGTGCCAGAAGAGAATGATTTTATTTTAAGATTTGTTAAACATTTATTCCGATGAGCATATCCCAAAAAGCAGCTTTAATTTCGATAATTTCTGTATATTTCAATACTTTGTTTTCAATGTTATCTTCTTGGTATCATTAAATGATCTGAGAAAGATTAAAATCTAATAAACATATTGGTATAAATCATTGCCAAACGAAATTGTTATACTACTTGTGTTTTAGTCTTCTAAAGATTATTTCCGATACAAATGTTATTTTGGTAAAAGTTACTGTTTAGTTAAATGGCTAGTTTAAACACATAAAATACTCGATCAAATTATCTACAATTGTCCCAAACTTCCATAGAGCACCTTTTTATTAAAAACGTTTTTAAAATTTTCGATTTTCTTTTAAGTTTATTAACAAGTATCATCCTAACTAAATTGAATACCATCCTGGTGTACCAGGTCTCTTTTTATTACGTTCCAGAAAATCTCTAAAGCCCTTCTTCGAATCATCCAATGCCTTCTCGTCGCTCTTTTGGTCTCTGCCTTTTTAGCAAATAAATCAGGGAAGGTAAATTCCATTGTTTTAGGCTAAAATAAACATCAACAGTTAATTCCAAACATTTTCTGTACAAAATATCCCTCAATCCCTCCTAGAACTCACCATAGTTACATAAGCTATTTTCATATCATCATTTTTGGTCACATAGCCATATGGTGGTATCACGTTTTGTAGAGCCCAACTCAATACGGGTTCGCACATCTACCACGGGAATTTTGTATATTTTCTCTAGATAATTTTTAACATCATATTTGTCATTTCCATCGAGACGGAAAATGTGGCGACATTTTTCGGTTGTTCCTCTAGTGGCCGTATCAATTTCATCCAAAAAATTGGGTAAGAAAATACGTAATTGTGGATTTCCACGTTGATAAATGGGATACCAGCGACTAGACATAACTTATTTTTATGTTTTATATAAACTTTAATTAATAATTTTTAATTATTTTGTGAAATTGTAAAAAAATCGTGATTTTCTTTTGCAAATAAACGATTTTAGCTAATCAGCTGTTTAGTTTTAATTCGCCTTGACATAATTGCTTAAAATAGTAGCAAAACAATTTATTTTTAGTACGTTTTTTATTAATAACAAAAATTGAAAATGGCTACACTAGCAACCATATGTTTATTTATAAAAAGGCGCTGGAATCAAGGAATAGTATACAATATATTTTCTGCGATATTTTTTTAATATTAATGTTTAAAAGTGATTTAAATTGACGTTTAGGTTTATGTAATATATGTCATGCCTGTTTTAATAAAAACGTAAGTTTATATTAATTTGTTAATTATTTACCTTTGTTTACAGTGCTTTTGTTGGCATCAATAATTTTATGCTTTTGAGTTAGGGTTGCCAATCGTCTTTTTTACAAACAATTTTTCATTAAAATATCTTGGGAAACAAAAATCCAACTTCACACACAAAGGTGAAACTTTTAAAAATAAATTGAAAAAATCTAGATCACCGTAACAATTTTTAGAATAAATCTGGACTAACGTAAAATGTGTTAAATTTAAACCTAGTAGTGTATAAAAAATGGTGTGTGACCAAAACCATTTTTATATCCAAAAAATGTATTTTTAGCTAAGCCGGTGTTAGATTCAGCCAAGAGGAAAAAGTACATGCTACCAGCAGAAGGGCGGTTGTTCAGAGAATGTGATTATAAACAATAAAAAATTCGGACCTCGCAAACTGGATCGAGATTCTACATATGTTTGTTCCGAAAAAAAAATAATTTTTTTCTGTATATCTATTATTACAGTTTGATCTAGTTACATTTTATTGAAATGTGTTTACAAATTCCTCATGTATTGACAATTTTTTAATTTAAATTCAAAACGTTACGCTACGTTAAAATAAAATATTTTGTAAAAACTATGTCAACACTACTTGTTTCTACACTCGCTGAAATAGTAAACAAAATGTTGACAAGTCGAATTCGCCTTATAAACTGTCATAAATTTAATTTTTTTCGGATTTTTGCAGTCGAAGATCTGAATTTCACATTTCTTGTGAAAAAGTAAAATAAATTAAATTAAATAATGGGGACCGCCAAAGAAATCGAAAAAAGATAAATTTGGTGGAGACAAATTTGGTAAGTTTAGGAATTCCTACTTACATAAACTGTATAATAACATTAGAATTTAACAGGTAAAAAACGACGTGCCGAAGATGAGGCCTACACACAGCTTGTTGATGACAATGATACCATCGATATTAGTGAATCTGATGAATACCGGAGCAGCTTCTAAGAATGCCGAAACTAATGATGATGGTATAAATACCGATGAATATGGTGCCAAAGATTATCGTTCACAAATGGAAACTTAAAGTGGATCACAACAATCGTCCTTTATGGGTGCACCGAATGGTCATATATTTTTGGAGTCATTCTCACCTGTTTATAAACATGCTCATGACTTTCTAATTGCCATCTCTGAACCTGTCTGTCGTCCCGAGCATATACACGAATACAAATTAACAGCCTACAGTTTATATGCCGCCGTATCGGTTGGCCTACAGACCCATGACATTGTTGAGTATTTGAAGAGATTAAGTAAAACTAGTATTCCTGAGGGTATTATAGAATTCATTAACTGTGTACTTTATCGTATGGCAAAGTTAAATTGGTTTTAAAACATAATCGCTATTTTTATTGAATCTCCTCATCCGGATATTTACAAAAGTTGCTCAAAGATCCAGTTATACAGACGTGTCGCTTAAAGCGTGAAGAAGGAGATGCTTTTATACAGGGCACTGTGGAGGGTAAAGCTATAAACTCAGTTTGGTACAAAATTACCGATGGTACAGTTAAGGGCGCTGATGGTAAGGCTGATCCCAATGCTGCTGGCACTATTAATGCAGATGGCCACAACCAATGTACCCGATGATATTACAAATTTTTATGATAAATTGATAATGAGGAGGAAGACGAGGATGAGGCTAATTTAAAAACAGTTCATTTGAAGTAAATCAGGAAAAAATTGAAGTTATACAGAAGCGTTGCATAGAAATTGAACATCCTCTGCTGGCAGAGTATGATTTTCGTAATGATACACATAATCCAGATATAAATATTGATCTAAAACCTGCTGCTGTGTTGAGACCTTATCAGGAGAAGAGTTTGCGCAAAATGTTTGGTAACGGACGTGCTAGATCAGGAGTTATTGTACTACCTTGTGGTGCAGGTATGTTTGAAGTCATATCTATTTAATGCACCATTTTTATAATGCCTCTTAATATTTTAGGTAAATCTTTAGTTGGTGTTACCGCCTGCTGTACCGTGCGCAAACGTGCCTTGGTTTTGTGCAACAGTGGTGTATCAGTCGAACAGTGGAAGCAACAGTTTAAAATGTGGTCTACCGCTGATGACAGCATGATTGTCGTTTCACTTCTGAGGCTAAAGATAAACCTATGGGTTGCGGCATTCTAGTCACCACCTATTCTATGATCACTCACACTCAAAAACGTTCTTGGGAAGCAGAGCAGACAATGCGTTGGCTGCAGGAACAGGAATGGGGCATAATGGTATTGGATGAAGTACACACTATTCCAGCCAAAATGTTTCGTAGAGTTTTAACTATAGTGCAGTCTCACTGTAAACTTGGTTTGACTGCCACCTGTGTTGCGTGAAGATGGACAAAATTGCTGATTTGAATTTCCTTATTGGTCCTAAACTATATGAAGCCAATTGGTTGGAGCTACAAAAGAAGGGCTTTATTGCTCGTGTACAGTGTGCCGAGGTGTGGTGGTCCAATGTCTCCTGAATTCTATCGTGAATACTTGACTGCCAAGACTTCCAAGAAAATGTTACTTTTACGTTATGAATCCATCCAAATTCCGCAGTTGCCAGTTTCTTATTAAATATCATGAAAAAAGAGGTGACAAACCATTGTCTTCTCGGACAATGTGTTTGCTTTGAAACATTATGCCATCAAAATGAATAAACCTTTCATTTATGGTCCTACCTCACAAAATGAACGTATACAAATTTTACAAATTTCAAATTCAATCAAAAAGTCAACACCATTTTTGTATCAAAGTGGCCGATACTAGTTTTTGATTTGCCCGAAGCTAATGTGCTTATACAGATTTCCTCACATGGTGGTTCTCGTCGTCAGGAGGCTCAGCGTTTAGGTCGTATTTTGCGTGCTAAAAAGGGTGCCATTGCCGAGGAGTATAATGCCTTCTTCTACACCCTTGTTTCGCAGGACACCATGGAAATGAGTTATTCTCGCAAACGTCAACGTTTCTTGGTCAATCAGGGTTACAGTTATAAAGTTATACACATTTAAGTGGCATGGACACAGATCCCGACTTATTTTTATAAAACCGTGAAGAACAATCCCAACTGTTGCAGCAAGTTTTTATCTGCTTCCGATCAGGACTGTGAAGATGAAAAGATTCCGGGTGAACCAGGCTATCGTCCAGGCGGTTCTAGTACCATGAAACGTGGCGGCTTGAGTTCTATGTCGGGCGGTGATGATGCCATTTACTATGAACATCGTAAAAAGAATTCTGGAAATGTACATCCATTGTTTAAGAAATTCAGAGGTGTTTAAAAGAATGTAAAACTATGCATGTAATTGCTGATGTTATTATTAATTAAATGTACTACAATAAATGGAATATATATGAAATTTATCACTTATTTTTGTTGTTTAATTTTTCTTAGAGAAAATTTGATTTTTATGTTAGAATTTGAATTTTAGCGAATTCGGTTCCAGTTCTTTAGATATTCCGTTCCAGTTCCTTCAGATAACCAAAAATATATTTGCAATAATAACCGAAACCTCCATTTTTTTTAGCAAAACCTCTAGCGGCTCTTAAAAGAATGGGCCATTCTTGAACTGCAAGGGGATCTAGAGGTGCGATCTAATGAGGATATGCACGATCAATTTGTGGGTGATCTGTACTACAACAAATATGGTCAACCAGTAAGTCATTACAAATATAACTTCCAAATTTCTAAATCATACTATTCCACTTTAGATTTTAATTATCGGCCATCACATTTTGCAAGGCAGAGAACAAAAACTCGAAAAAACCCTTTGCCGTCTTGGAAAAATCAAAAACCAATGAGGGTCAACATTTATTGGACCAAACTGTGGGCAATTTAAATGCCAGCGTTATGAACAACACTGTAGATCGCACGCTGCTCGATAATACGGTGGCTTTGGAAAACAATCAAGACAGAAAAGTGAATACACAGTGCAGGCCGTTATAACCAAAAAGTTGATCTTTAAATCTAGACCCAAACCCATTATAGCAAATGTAGCAAAAGTGTGTAAATTTCAAATTGGTTTTATTCAATATTTTTTACGCTAAATTTAAGATAAAAGAAATAATTAAAATAAAGTACACGAAAATGATAATAAAAATAAAAAAATTAAACAATTTCCATTTCACGTTCAATGCCCACAAATTTCAATTGTTCCGTAGGACCATATCTATAGTCAAAGAATAGTTCTTCTCCCGGTTGTATAGCACGTTTAGCGAAAATACCAATACGATGATCGCCTGTCACCATCATTACTTTAGCATAGCAATTGGGATTGATGGAATGATTGGCAAAACGTATTTTATTCCCCTTACGCGTAGCATCCACCACAAAATCATTATTCAAATTGAAAAGGAAAGAGCACATGTACTTATCATACACTTTGCCACGACGATCGGCTTCATCTTGCGATATAATTTCACCGCAATATTCCGAAATGAATTCATTCTTTTGTGCACCCTCCTTAAGGAATATACCCCAACCGGCTACATCTGAGGGAGCCATTAGTAATGTTTTATCTGTTGAAAATAAATAAGTAAATTTCTAATTTTATGTGAAAATTAAATACAAGAAACTTACGTAGACCCCGTTGTACACAAACATTTTTGCAAGTAATTTTAGTAATTTAAATTGATCCGCTCCACAAGCTTGACACAAATCCGGATCACATTCACGTACGGCCAAATAACAGGGACACTGTTTAGTATTACATTGAGCCTTGCAACGACAGCCTGGAAAACGATTCTGGCAATCACTGCTACAGTTGCAGAATTTTTCACAAAAGTTTTGTGTTTGTATGCAAGAACAATTCATATCGCAAGGACCGGGATGATCACAAGGTGTATAATTGTAGACATGATTCGAAGTGGAATCCTTTTTCAATTGTATCTTGCGACAATGTAAAGACCATAAACGTTGCTTCTTCTTCTTCTTGCGTGGTGGTGTATAATCCTGACGCAATTCTTCAATACAAAATTCGGCAGCCTCTTTTTGGGCAAATTCATAAACCTAAAGGGAAAATGTTTAAGTTTTTTCTCTACGGTTCATATAATAATTCATTTTACCTGTTGGCAGGTTTTCGTTAACATGGTCTGTGCTATGGCACAGTAATTTTTCAAAAACACTTTATGTAAGGTGCGAAAGAGCGACTGATCAGCTCCAGTCCAATCACACTTGGCATTTGATGTATTCATCATTCCAGCTGTTTTAAAAGGAATGTATTAGTTGTTATAGAAATAGAATTTGTTTGATCTAAAAAATACTTATTAAATTGTTCTATAGACACAACATGTCTTTACTGGCAATTCACTTAGATTCATATAGTGGTTGCTTGAAACAATAATCCTGAACCTTGAGTGAACTAAACAATCTTATGGCTCTATATCTGTCTATCTATCTCTATCTATATCTAGATCTATCTAGCGATCTAGCTATCATCGATCTATCGATCGAGCGAGAGAGCGAGCGAGCGAGCGAGCGAGCGAGCGAGCGAGCGAGCGAGCGAGCGAGCGAGCGAGCGAGCGAGCGAGCGAGGAGCGAGCGAGCAGCGAGCGAGCGAGCGAGCGAGCGAGAGAGAGAGCGAGCGAGCGAGCGACCGACGCGAGCGAGCGAGCGAGCGAGCGAGCGAGCGAGCGAGCGCGAGCGAGAGAGAGCGAGCGAGCGAGCGAGCGAGCGAGCGAGCGAGAGCGAGCGAGCGACGAGAGAGCGAGCGAGGAGCGAGCGAGCGAGCGAGCGAGCGAGCGAGCGAGCGAGCGGAGCGAGCAGCGAGCGAGCGAGCGAGCGAGCGAGCGAGCGATCGAGCGAGCTAGCGAGCTAGCGAGCGAGGAGCTAGCGAGCGAGCGGTCTATCTATCTATCTATCTATCTATCAGTCTATCTATCTATCTATCTATCTATCTATCTATCTATCTATCTATCTATCTACTATCTATCTACGATCTATCTATCTATCTATCTATCTATCATCTATCTATCTATCTATCTATCTATCTATCTATCTATCTATCTATCTATCTATCTATCTATCTATCTATCTATCTATCTATCTATCTATCTATGGTGATGATCAATGACCATTTGCTCTGAGCACATCCCTTCAATTACCACTATTTATGTCATTAATAGCAGAACGTAACAGCTACCGGAGAACTCTGTTGGAGCCACGAACTCGTGAAGAACTCAGGTTTGATATTGTTCATTTATTTGTGATGATCAATGACATTCGCTCTGAGCATATTCCTTCATTTGACACTATTTATGCGATTTATAGCAGAACTTCTGAAAAGGTCAATTTCCTCTTCCCACCCAAAATAGCTCCATTTTCGAATGATTCATATCGTCAAGAGGAATTAGTTAAGTTTTAACAATACAATAACAAATTGCCTAATTTTGTGTTTAAAATGTTGTTAAATAATCAGACTTTAGTATCTTACCCATTATAGAACTTATTTCCGCCGCAGCTGCGCTGGTTACAGTTCCATTTTCCTTTGTTTGATCATTGTTAAACTCTTTGTTGCTAAATTGGCTGTTACTATCATTACTATCCTCTGAACTGGCCTCGTTACAAGAATCAATAGGAGGAGTTTTACTATCCGCGGCCAGTTTTTCTTTCATACCATCCTAAAGTGTTTAAGAAAAAAATTTCGATGAAATTAAATTAACAATAAGGGAAGAATTTTTACTTGGGGAAAACTGTAAAATACGCCCTATTTTTCTAAATATTGTATAAAAACTTCCGAAATGCATATTGAAAATTTTGAGATTTGACTTTCTACTTACCAACAGCATATAACAATTATTACTGCAGGGTTCTGTAAATGGTTTAATTTCTGGAAAACGACGTTTTTGTAAGTTAGGACCAGCATGTCCAACTTGTAGACCTATGAAAGGAAATTTATTAATAAATATTTTCAACTTGTAAACTGTTCGAAACTCAAACTAATTTGAAATGATTATTATAAAAATGCCATTGAATTTGTTATTTGTTGGTTGATCAGTTTGATTTGAAAATGAATTAGAGAAACATTAGAGAACATTTCAAATGCCTAGTTTTATTTGTTTAAATAGTGCTAAGCAAAAAATGGAGTTTGTCAACAATTTAAACCATAACATACAATACAACATAATGCCAATTTTAGAAGAAAGGGGGAAAAGTTTCAAATCATACATATACACACACACAATTACTTTCATCTTCCCCTTAATCTATAGTTAAAAAAGGTATAGTTTTTGAAAATTATATTAAATAATGTTGAAACCAAAAAGTATGCGGTAAAATGAGTTTTTTTGCATAGTTTTAACTGTTTAAGATTGTTTGAAAGTTAAGTTAAGGATGTTTTTTTTTTTTTTTTTTGTTGATATTTTACATATTTCTGAATTTGTTAATTTCTGAATGCCTGAAAAAAATCTGAAGTATGAAAACATCGAATATATGGTAGAAAAATGGATTGGTGGTGGTCATGATGGTGTAGCAACATTCAATAAGAAAACATAGAACAACAGCTACAACTCACCGTGAGTTGGATGACCTAAATTTGTTGTAATTTTTTTTTAACATTTTTATGTTCAAACGGCATTAAATTTTGTTTTTTTTTTTAACACAATCATTTTTTTAAACCGATTTAAAAAAAGATAAAAAATAGTTATATATTTTAATTATAATTAAATAATTGAAATAACTTTAAAATAATTATATACTTACGATGCAAAAAGCAATCATATTTGAAACAACGTCTACAGAAGAGGGTGTGAAAAGAATGTAAAGTTCTTTCACGTGAAACACTTTCGGCCTTTTCACCATCTATATTGGGTGTGCATTCTTGAGGACGTTCCGGATCCTGATGTTCGGTAAGTTCTATGTATCTAAATGTTGAATGTATTAGCAATATGTAACTGGATTTCTAAACTAAATGAACTTACTTTTCTTTTAATTCTTGTGGCGTTCCCTTATCGGGGAAATTGGAGCTTATAGCTTGGAATATAATTGGAGGTGGAAAAGGCATTTTTTCCTTAACCGGATCTAGTTTTTCTTCCTCCGTTTTTTCTTCAGTTTTCACTTCTTTAGCGTCCTCTGACTTTTCATCGTTTTTGTCTTGCAATTTTTCCGACTTTTTGTCCTCTTCTTTAGACTCTTCATCAGACACCTTATTCTCCGATTTTAAATCTTCCGATTTTTTCTCTTTATCTTTTTCATCCACATCTACACTATCTTTTTTTCTCCTTATCTTCCTTGCTAACCTTAGCCTTTACATCATTATCCTCCTTCAAAGCCTCAATTTTCAAAGGCACTCCTGTAATCTCCTCAATTTCTTTGGGATAATTACGCATCAAAGCATGTACCAATTCCACAAATATGGCATCATCCATAAATGAAGGATCTTTATCACCATGAACCTTGCCATCATAATTCTTAATTAATTCCTCAATAAATTTGCCATCTTTATCGAGAACTTCATCACCCATATAAGGAATATTGTGTAAAACAGTTTCATCCTCCACCATAAAATTCTGTTGAGTGGGCGCCCAGGTATACATGGTGGGTATGGGCGTTACGGCATTGATAACACATATAGGCACCTGCTGTGAACCAGAGCCATTATACATAGTCACTTCCGCTCGTTTGACACAATCCACATGAGGGGGATCATAGGGTTGGACCTGCCAAACCTTAGGCTCACAATACAAGTCCTGTACATTGTAGTTGTGCTCATCCCTAAAGAAAATTTACACATTTTTTAATAAATATAAAAAATTTTCTTTTTTTTTTTCAACAATTACCAATTTTTAATCCACGCTTCCTTTATCTCATCTGCTCTTTTGTAGCGTTTCTGTTGTCTTATTTTAATATATTCTTTTTTAACACGTCTTTTCCATTCTAGCGGTACTTTTACATTGTTCGGCATTTTAATTTATAGTTATTTAATATTTTTTCATGAATTATTATAAAATTTATTAAAATTGTCCGTAAATTTTCACTTGTTTACTCGGCGTCTGCAAAATATTTGTTGCACAAATGCCAACACAAAAGAGAATGAAGAAAGGCGCAAAAATGTGTTTAAAAAATGAGAGCTAGCAGAGATGGGAGTAATAAATTTAATATTCTAAACAAAAGTATTTTCAAAAATTAACTTTACTTGCAATTTCTGTTTAATGAAAGAAAAATATTAAATTCTTTTTATTTTTTGTTCAATAAATATACATATATACATATTTAATAACATTTTCTTTAAAAAAAATCAGTTTGCTTAGCAAACACTTAAAAATATGGCATCTCTGTTTTTGTTCTTTTTTTATTTACTAAAACTGTTACGACACACCCTGTGTTCAATGTCAACGCATCATTTATTACGAATGTCAGATTGTAAAGAGTCGTATAGAAAAGAAAAAGTCAATGGAAAATGTAAATTTTCCTGAAAATATTTATCTAATCATTAAAAAACTATAAAATATTATAAACTAAATACAACAAAAGTATCATTTAAAACTGTTAAGCAATAAAGAAATACCAAAAAGAATTTTAATATAAAAATATTCTACTAAAAGTCTTTTTTCTCAACCAACAATAAACAACAGAGACAACAAAACATGGAACCCTCAGCCTGTGAAGGTAAATATTATTTACACTTCTTGAATTTAAATTCCAAATCAAAAACAAATGAACTTTGACTTAAAATATATCACAGAATTAAAATTTTCTTAACATATTCTAGATTTAAAAGCCTTTGAAAGACGTCTGACAGAGGTGGTGTCTTCCTATAAACCCTCAACTGTACGCTGGCGAAGTAAGTGTAAGATTTCAATTATAAAAGTTAAAAATTTTAATAAAACTTAAACAATTTATTTTTCGTGCACAAAAAAAAAGTTGTTTTAGCTGTTATATCTTTATGTACCGCCATTAGCGCCTGGTATTGGCTAAGAGATCCACGCACCTCGGTGGTGCCTTTAACAGAATCACTGCTCATACATCCTGTGTTTACCTTTGCCACTTTAATTTTAGGTAAGTTTATTAAACAAACAATACTATTTTGTTAATAATTTCATTTTGTTTTCTTTTCCAGTTATTTTATTTGTTTTTGGCATACACAAGCTGGTCATTGCTCCTCAGATTATCACCTCACGTATGCGTAGCGTTCTCAGTGATTTTAATATGAGTTGTGATGATACGGGGAAATTGATATTAAAACCTCGACCTAATAACAATTAAAAAAAGATTTTTTTATAAAGTACCTTTTAGAAATGCTCGTGTTTTTTATTTAATTTTGGCTTCCCATTTGTAGGATATATTTTAGTATATTATTGGGATTTTTGCTTTCTGTTGTCATTTACAAATATATTCTCTATTAAGACATAACAAGATTATTGTTGTATTTTTATATAGACTAACAACTTAGTAATAAAATATACTTATATTAGAAAGACTCCAAATTGAGACAATTTTGTTAAATGGGTTTCTTTTTTGATAATAAATGCTAAATGTATGAAAATGAGTGTCATCTTTGGAAGATAAATTCAATTGGCTATGAAATTTTTATATAGCCAATTGAATTTATTAAATTCAATTTTCGGATTGAGTTATACCCGTAAATATTTTGCACAACATTTGCAAGTAGCTTTCATAAAAAATGCAGAATAATTTTTAAATTCCGAAAAATTTTCTTTTTTATAGAAATTTGCAAAAATTCTCCTTTTCCAAACATTTTTTCGATACAAATTCTATTTTCTACGTTTTATATAACATCTTCGAAACATTGTCCTTTTTATAGAACATTTTTGTAAAAATTCTCCTTTTTATAGAAAAATTTTAGAATTAATCAAATCGTTCTCATTAAACATTGGAAGGATTATAAAATATTTATGCCCTTCTCAATGACTGGATACATACAGATTCCCGAGCTGGACAAAGAATAAGATCCATCTTCCCCTCATGCGATCAGCTTACCTTGCCGAAATTATATTGCCCGTGTCCCTTGACTCATAAAAGGGAATTGTTCAAATGTTTCGCAATATCATTTATGGACCAGTCAGGATTTTAATAATAGCCTGGTTATTAGTGAGAATTCAGATATTCAATAATATCTGAACCAATTTGTTGCCATTTAAATCGCTCATATATCCCAGCTTGAAGAATACTATAATCATCATTGAGTTTAAAAGATTGCTGCACGATATCGGAAAGATGTAAATCTGTTCGTTATTTTACATAATCCTTATGCAAGAGTCCGAAATACAGAAACATAGAGCGATCATAACTAAAATTTTCAGGCCTAAAAAAAAAGCGATATTAAAATGGTTCCCAAATACATCAGTCATCAAGTGGCATAGCAAACCATAATTAGAGCTTTTTCAATTTTCATTCAACCCTGCAAAAATTATGGCAGTACATGATCCATTTAGGTTATCCCATAGCTGCTCCCCTTTAAACATTATTGGAGTACATAATCCGTTATGTAATCCTACGTAATGCAGACATGGATCATGTTTATTTTTTAAAGATAACTTGATCCATAATCCGTTTAGTAATCCTACGTAATGCAGACATGGATCATGTTTATTTTTTGAAGACAACCTGATACATAGCCTACATTACATACCATCATTTTAGCAATGGAGGAGTTTTGGAATTAGTCTGACTTTATACATATACATGAATGTACATTCATTAAGTGGTTCTCACCTAGGACATCACAATGTTAAATGGAACATAGTTTTTTCATATATTTAGATTAGTTTTAAGCCAATCCTAGTTAGCAGCTTCTTTTCATTATGAATAAGGCCGCTAGTCTCGCACTAGAGCATAGGTCAACTTTAATCGTGACCGAATCCGGATATACATATTTTACTTTATGCTGAATTCTGTAAGATAAACTAACAGTAATTATCCTCAGGTTTGTAATAAGTTTTCTAATCAAATAGACCGGAGGTCGGGGTTCGATTCACACAGAGCTTACACCTAGGCCACCACGGAGAGGGAAGAGACGGCAGGCGGGCAAGGAGGGGGGAAGGAAGGAAGAAAAACGAAAGAGCGAGCGAGCGAGCGAGCGAGCGAGCGAGCGAGCGAGCGAGCGAGCGAGCGAGCGAGCGAGCGAGCGAGCGAGGCGCGAGCGAGCGAGCGAGCGAGCGAGCGAGCGAGCTAGCGAGCGAGCGAGCGAGAGCGAGCGAGCGAGCGAGCGCGAGCGAGCGAGCGAGCGAGCGAGCGAGCGAGAGAGCGAGCAGCGAGCGAGAGCGAGCGAGCGAGCGAGCGAGCGAGCGAGCGAGCGAGCGAGCGAGGCGAGCGAGCGAGCGAGCGAGCGAGCGAGCAAGCGAGCAAGCGAGCAAGCGAGCAAGCGAGCAAGCGAGCGAGCGAGCGAGCGAGCGAGCGAGCGAGCGAGCGAGCGAGCGAGCGAGCGAGCGAGCGAGCGCGAGCGAGCGAGCGAGCGAGCGAGCGAGCGAGCGAGCGAGAGAGCGAGCGAGCGAGCGAGCGAGCGAGCGAGCGAGAGCGAGCGAGCGAGCGAGCGAGCGAGCGAGCGAGCGAGCGAGCGAGCGAGCGAGCGAGGAGCCAGCGAGCGAGCAGCGAGCGAGCGAGCGAGCGAGCGAGCGAGAGAGCGAGCGAGAGAGCGAGAGCGAGGGAGCGAGGGAGCGAGCAGGAGCAGCAGCGAGCGAGCGAGCGAGCGAGCGAGCGAGCGAGCGAGCGAGAGAGCGAGCGAGCGAGCGAGCGAGCGAGCGAGCGAGCGAGCGAGCGAGCGAGCGAGGGAGACGAGCGAGCGAGCGAGCGAGCGAGCGAGCGAGCGAGCGAGCGAGCGAGCGAGCGAGCGAGCGAGCGAGAGCGAGCGAGCGAGCGAGCGAGCGAGCGAGCGAGCGAGCGAGCGAGAGAGCGCAGCGAGCGAGCGAGCGAGCGAGCGAGCGAGAGAGCGAGCGGGAGCGAGCGAGCGAGCGAGCGAGCGAGCGAGCGAGCGAGCGAGCGAGCTAGCGAGCGAGCGAGCGAGCGAGCGAGCGAGCGAGCGAGCGAGCGAGCGAGCGAGCGAGCGAGCGAGCGAGCGAGAGAGCGAGCGAGGGAGCGAGGAGCGAGCGAGGCGAGCGAGCGGAGCGAGCGAGCGAGCGAGCGATCTATCTATCTATCTATCTATCTATCTATCTATCTATCTATCTATCTATCTATCTATCTATCTATATCTATCTATCTATATCTATCATCTATCTATCTATCTATCTATCTATCTATCCATCTATCTTTCTATCTATCTATCTATCTATCTATCTATCTATCTATCTATCTATCTATCTATCTATCTATCTATCAAATAAAATAATTTAATTCAATTACGTTTTATGTTTTTTACTAATAGATTTTATTTTAAATTTCTCTTCTTTTTTTAATTTTTTCTTATATAAATACATGATTTTATTTGTTTTAATTAAATTTAGTGATTTTTGTTATTTATTTTTATTATTTTTGTTCTTTAAATTTTTGGTACAAACATTATTTATATAATTTTTTATTTATTTTATTATTATTAATTAAATTTAGTTAAATACAATAAAAAAGTAAAAGAAAAACAAACTAATTGGATATAAATACTACAATTTTTAAAAAAAATTTGCGCATAAAATATTTTCACTACAAATTTCATTAACGTTTTAATTTCACTTTTTTTTTAATTTTGTTAAAAAACAATTTTAAATGCAATTTGTTGGGATTATACATACAAAATCTTATTGTTAAAAAAAGTAAAAATAAAATTTTGATTGAACTCATTTTTTTCATAGGTATTAATAAAGTAGAACTTTTTTTTTAAGGGGAAGGAGATTATATAAAAAGAGTGGGAAAATGAAAGCACTTGAATATTTATTGATTTATAAATAAATTTTACCTTGGGAAGTTTTGTTTTTTTAGAAATTAACAAGGTTTTTTATGTTTATATTATGATTTTTGTTTTGTTTTAAGCCACGATAAAGTTTATAGTTTTTGTATGTTTAAGAATCTTCTTTATAGTTTAAGGACTATGAAAGTATAGGATTTGTATTTTAAAAATTTTGCTTTAAAAGTTGTTGTTTTATTCTCTAAAATATGTAGAACTTGGGGTAGATTGTTTAAGGTTTTCATTATACACTTGAAGTTAAGAAAAAGTTATTGAAGGATATAAAAGGGTTTTTGAAATCTCTCAATTTGTTTATTGATTTTCAACTTGTAGGCTTAAGTTATGACCTAAAATCTTTTACAAATTTCTAAAAGTTATGTGTATTTGAAAATCTTTATTAAAACACTATAGGGGACTTCTTTTGTTTTATAAAATTACAACTATATGTATTTGCCATTTAATATGTTATATTATTTAAATTATTTACTAAATTTCTTTGTTATTTTTGTTATTAATTGCAATATTTTGTTTAAATTTACTTCTTCTCAAGTATGATATAATTTTCAATTTTCTTTTAAGACAATTTCTTTAATTATAACTTTAAAAGTTTTTTTTTGTTAGTTATTTTTACAATTAATCCTTTAGTTTAAACATAAAATAAAAAAAGTAGATATTATTAAATTTTTTAAAAAACCAATTATGTATTATAAAAAGTTTATTGTTTTTAATTATTTATAGTATTTATCTAGTTTTGCTTTAAATATTATTTAGGGAATTTATTTTATAAAAAGGATATGGACTCATTATTGTTTCAATAATTAAATGCATATTGTGTGTGTGTGTGTGGTAAAATCTAATTGACACCAGCAAAACGAAGTTGAAGTTGAAGCAAAAAAGGATATTAATTAAAATAAAACATAATATGCATATAGTAAAATCTTAATAAAAAAAATAATCACATACATATATAAAAATAAAACAATAATTACTTATTTATACAATATATAATCGTTACTCGATTTTTCACTATAATTTAATTAATTACTTAACAAAACAGAACAGCTAAAGAATACTAATAAGAAAAATGTTTAATGTTTAAGAAAAGTTTTAATTCTTTATTCGTTGAAGAAGGGTTAAAGGGATAGTGTTATACAGTCCCACAAACTCTCCACTTAATATTTTCGACCACATTTATAACTTCAACAATTTGTAAAACAAGAACTTCTTAATCATAACATTTAAAATCGGAAACAACTAAAAAAAAACTTATTTATATTGCTGGTGATTTATAGTAAAATACATATAAAGTTGCTATAAAGTAAAGTTAATTTTGGTTTTCATTTCTTTTTCTTTACAACCACAACTTTTGTTTAAAAATAATCATAAAAAATAATAATTAAACTTAAATAAACAAAATTAAAAAAAAAAAACATTAAAAAAAATAAAACAAGCACATACATACAAATGGTAAAAATATTAGAAAATAATAAAATAAAAAAAAATACATAAAATAAACGGTGTTTTTATCTCTCAGTTTTCCAAACAGAAAAAAAAATAAAATAAAATAAAATGCTAACAACAGCACACTTCATCTATTTGTTTTAAAAAACTGCTCCTCTTTGTGTATTATGCTGCCAATAAATTTCGTATATTTTTGGGCGTATTTTCTTCATTTAAGTGTTTGGTTGTATACCGCAGAGCATTTAGCAGGGGTTCTGCTTTTATGGCTGGCTGAGCTTGTAAGAGACGTACACAACCTTTGACATCGACATGAGCACCGCGTGCAAACGCCCCCACTGGATGGACATGATCGTAGAGAATAACTAAACCGACCATAACTCTTAAAACAAGCAGGTGGGTTTCTTCACGTTCGATTTGTTGTAGGAGTTTACTGTAAATAGAAAAAAAAAGAAATACAAAATAAATATGCAAACATTAGCATAAAAAAAGGATTGTATGTAAATTTGTATCCAAATTGTTAAATCACTTAACATTTAAAATAGAATTTCAAAATAATACTAAAACTACTTACGGATTTTCCAACATTCTCAGACACACTTTAGCCATTGTACCCAGTGTTTCTGTTGTATTCTCAACATCATCAGCATTATCATTTACAAATTTCGAGGTAGCTTCACTTAAGACTTTTAACATTGGTGTGGCATGGGCATAAAACAATGACATACGATTCGCCAGTTCAGTTGGTACCAACATATTATTTGTGGCATCAATACGTTGTCGACTGACGATACGTCTGTAATAACTGAAATCATTTTGTATCGCAGGTGTTTTCATCTGAAATTGAAATTAGATGCATAATGGACATTAGTAAATTTTAGTAAAATTATTCTTAATTTTAGGGAATTTCTTACAGCAGTCAGTGTAAAATGTTTTGTCAACAATTCTAAAAAAAAGTATTGTGTGTTTAAAACTTTAATTTTTTCTTAGTTCGATAAATTGTCTATTTCTTATATATTTTTACTCTTTTTAGAGATTACCCACAAATTTATGTAGAAATTATGAAAAATTATACATTAATAAATTTTTTGTGCAAAATTGCTCCTTTTCTCCAAATTATGGTCCAGTCTACAGTCCAGACTATAGTCCAGTCTATACTCTAGTGTATAATCTAGTCTATAGTCTAGTCTATAATCTAGTCTATAGTCTAGTCTATAGTCTAGTCTATAGTCTAGTCTATAGTCTAGTCTATAGTCTAGTCTATAGTCTAGTCTATAGTCTAGTCTATAGTCTAGACTATAGTCTAGTCTATAGTCTAGTCTATAATCTAGTCTATAGTCTAGTCTACAGTCTAGTCTATAGTCTAGCCTATAGTCTAGTCTATAGTCTAGTCTATAGTCTAGTCTAGTCTATAGTCTAGTCTATAGTCTAGTCTATAGTCTAGTCTATAGTCTAGTCTATAGTCTAGTCTATAGTCTAGTCTATAGTCTAGTCTATAGTCTAGTCTATAGTCTAGTCTATAGTCTAGTCTATAGTCTAGTCTATAGTCTAGTCTATAGTCTAGTCTATAGTCTAGTCTAGTCTAGTCTATAGTCTAGTCTATAGTCTAGTCTATAGTCTAGTCTATAGTCTATGTCTAGTCTATAGTCTAGTCTATAGTCTAGTCTATAGTTAGTCTATAGTCTAGTCTATAGTCTAGTCTATAGTCTAGTCTATAGTCTAGTCTCTAGTCTAGTCTATAGTCTAGTCTATAGTCTAGTCTATAGTCTAGTCTATAGTCTAGTCTATAGTCTAGTCTATAGTCTAGTCTATAGTCTAGTATATAGTCTCGTCTATAGTCTAGTCTATAGTCTAGTCTATAGTCTAGTCTATAGTCTAGTCTATAGTCTAGTCTATAAGTCTAGGTCTATAGTCTAGTCTATAGTCTAGTCTATAGTCTAGTCTATAGTCTAGTCTATAGTCTAGTCTATAGTCTAGTCTATAGTCTAGTCTATAGGTATAGTCTATAGTCTAGTCTAGTCTATAGTCTAGTCTATAGTCTAGTCTATAATCTAGTCTATAGTCTAGTCTATAATCTAGTCTATAGTCTAGTCTATAGTCTAGTCTATAGTCTAGTCTATAGTCTAGTCTATAGTCTAGTCTATAGTCTAGTCTATAGTCTAGTCTATAGTCTAGTCTATAGTCTAGTATAGTCTAGTCTATAGTCTAGTCTAGTCTAGTCTATAGTCTAGTCTATAGTCTAGTCTATAGTCTAGTCTATAGTCTAGTCTATAGTCTAGTCTATAGTCTAGTCTATAGTCTAGTCTATAGTCTAGTCTATAGTCTAGTCTATAGTCTAGTCTATATTCTTATCTATAATCTGGTCTACATTCTAGTCTATTTTTGTTTTTCCACAAAAAAAATAGACAACAAAAAAGACTAGAATGTAGACCAGATTATAGATAAGAATATAGACTAGACTATAGACTAGACTATAGACTAGACTATAGACTAGACTATAGACTAGACTATAGACTAGACTATAGACTAGACTATAGACTAGACTATAGACTAGACTATAGACTAGACTATAGACTAGACTATAGACTAGACTATAGACTAGACTATAGACTAGACTATAGACTAGACTATAGACTAGACTATAGACTAGACTATAGACTAGACTATAGACTAGACTATAGACTAGACTATAGACTAGACTATAGACTAGACTATAGACTAGATTATAGACTAGACTATAGACTAGATTATAGACTAGACTATAGACTAGACTATAGACTAGACTATAGACTAGACTATAGACTAGATTATAGACTAGACTATAGACTAGACTATAGACTAGACTATAGACTAGACTATAGACTAGACTATAGACTAGACTATAGTCTAGACTATAGACTAGACTATAGACTAGACTATAGACTAGACTATAGACTAGACTATAGACTAGACTATAGACTAGACTATAGACTAGACTATAGACTAGACTATAGACTAGACTATAGACTAGACTATAGACTAGACTATAGACTAGACTATAGACTAGACTATAGACTAGACTATAGACTAGACTATAGACTAGACTATAGACTAGACTATAGACTAGACTATAGACTAGACTATAGACTAGACTATAGACTAGACTATAGACTAGACTATAGACTAGACTATAGACTAGACTATAGACTAGACTATAGACTAGACTATAGACTAGACTATAGACTAGACTATAGACTAGACTATAGACTAGACTATAGACTAGACTATAGACTAGACTATAGACTAGACTATAGACTAGACTATAGACTAGACTATAGACTAGACTATAGACTAGACTATAGACTAGACTATAGACTAGACTATAGACTAGACTATAGACTAGACTATAGACTAGACTATAGACTAGACTATAGACTAGACTATAGACTAGACTATAGACTAGACTATAGACTAGACTATAGACTAGACTATAGACTAGACTATAGACTAGACTATAGACTAGACTAGACTATAGACTAGACTATAGACTAGACTATAGGCTAGACTATAGACTAGACTGTAGACTAGACTATAGACTAGATTATAGACTAGACTATAGACTAGACTATAGTCTAGACTATAGACTAGACTATAGACTAGACTATAGGACTAGACTATAGACTAGACTATAGACTAGACTATAGACTAGACTATAGACTAGACTATAGACTAGATTATAGACTAGACTATAGACTAGATTATACACTAGAGTATAGACTGGACTATAGTCTGGACTGTAGACTGGACCATAATTTGGAGAAAAAGGAGCAATTTTGCACAAAAATTTATTATGTATAATTTTTCATAATTTCTACATAAATTTGTGGGTAATCTCTAAAAAGAGTAAAAATATATAAGAATAGACAATTTATCGAACTAAGAAAAAATTAAAGTTTTAAACACACAATACTTTTTTTTAGAATTGTTGACAAAACATTTTACACTGACTGCTGTAAGAAATTCCCTAAAATTAAGAATAATTTTACTAAAATTACTAATGTCCATTATGCATCTAATTTCAATTTCAGATGAAAACACCTGCGATACAAATGATTTCAGTTATTACAGGACGTATCGTCAGTCGACAACGTATTGATGCCACAAATAATATGTTGGTACCAACTGAACTGGCGAATCGTATGTCATTGTTTTATGCCCATGCCACACCAATGTTAAAAGTCTTAAGTGAAGCTACCTCGAAATTTGTAAATGATAATGCTGATGATGTTGAGAATACAACAGAAACACTGGGTACAATGGCTAAAGTGTGTCTGAGAATGTTGGAAATCCGTAAGTAGTTTTAGTATTATTTTGAAATTCTATTTTAAATGTTAAGTGATTTAACAATTTGGATACAAATTTACATACAATCCTTTTTTTATGCTAATGTTTGCATATTTATTTTGTATTTCTTTTTTTTTCTATTTACAGTAAACTCCTACAACAATCGAACGTGAAGAAACCCACCTGCTTGTTTTAAGAGTTATGGTCGGTTTAGTTATTCTCTACGATCATGTCCATCCAGTGGGGGCGTTTGCACGCGGTGCTCATGTCGATGTCAAAGGTTGTGTACGTCTCTTACAAGCTCAGCCAGCCATAAAAGCAGAACCCCTGCTAAATGCTCTGCGGTATACAACCAAACACTTAATGAAGAAATACGCCCAAAAATATACGAAATTTATTGGCAGCATAATACACAAAGAGGAGCAGTTTTTTAAAAACAAATAGATGAAGTGTGCTGTTGTTAGCATTTTATTTTATTTTATTTTTTTTTCTGTTTGGAAAACTGAGAGATAAAAACACCGTTTATTTTATGTATTTTTTTTTATTTTATTATTTTCTAATATTTTTACCATTTGTATGTATGTGCTTGTTTTATTTTTTTTAATGTTTTTTTTTTTTAATTTTGTTTATTTAAGTTTAATTATTATTTTTTATGATTATTTTTAAACAAAAGTTGTGGTTGTAAAGAAAAAGAAATGAAAACCAAAATTAACTTTACTTTATAGCAACTTTATATGTATTTACTATAAATCACCAGCAATATAAATAAGTTTTTTTTTAGTTGTTTCCGATTTTAAATGTTATGATTAAGAAGTTCTTGTTTTACAAATTGTTGAAGTTATAAATGTGGTCGAAAATATTAAGTGGAGAGTTTTGTGGGACTGTATAACACTATCCCTTTAACCCTTCTTCAACGAATAAAGAATTAAAACTTTTCTTAAACATTAAACATTTTTCTTATTAGTATTCTTTAGCTGTTCTGTTTTGTTAAGTAATTAATTAAATTATAGTGAAAATCGAGTAGTAACGATTATATATTGTATAAATAAGTAATTATTGTTTTATTTTTATATATGTATGTGATTATTTTTTTTTTATTAAGATTTTACTATATGCATATTATGTTTTATTTTAATTAATATCCTTTTTTGCTTCAACTTCAACTTCGTTTTGCTGGTGTCAATTAGATTTTACCACACACACACACACAATATGCATTTAATTATTGAAACAATAATGAGTCCATATCCTTTTTATAAAATAAATTCCCTAAATAATATTTAAAGCAAAACTAGATAAATACTATAAATAATTAAAAACAATAAACTTTTATAATACATAATTGGTTTTTTAAAAAATTTAATAATATCTACTTTTTTTATTTTATGTTTAAACTAAAGGATTAATTGTAAAAATAACTAACAAAAAAAAACTTTTAAAGTTATAATTAAAGAAATTGTCTTAAAAGAAAATTGAAAATTATATCATACTTGAGAAGAAGTAAATTTAAACAAAATATTGCAATT